TGTGTGTGTGTGTGTGTGTGTGTGTGTGTGTGTGTGTGTGTGTGTGTGTGTTGATGATTGAATCTGGGACCTCGTGCCTTTTCTCATGTCTCCCCATTTCCAGGAATCCCCTGATCTGCTTCCTGTCACCATAGATTAGTGTACGAGTTAATTTTCTTGTGTCATGAAGAAAAATACTTGACAAGAAGCAATTTAAGGGAAGCTTTGCTTGGGATCAGACACAGCTAAAAGGAATACAGTGCATCCTGGTAGAGAAAGACTGCCAGCGGGAGCCAAGGGACCTTGGGACACTGCACCTGCAATCAGGAAGCAGACAGCACACAGGAAGTGGAGTTTGGCTGTAAAACCTGAAGAGACAACTTCAGCAACCCACTTCCTCAAATGAGGCTCCACCTCCTAAAAGTTCCTCCATGTTCTGGAACAGCACCCCTGTTCAAACACCTGAGCCTATGGGGAATATTTCACACCCAAACCACAATGATTCTTTTCTGTTTTCTAGATTATTTTACAGATTTAATAATACACCAGCTATACAATGTGTCCAGGTTCTTTTCACCATTGTTTTTTGTGATTCATTCATATTGCTGCTCAACCGATAGATAGTTATTGTTATTCCTGACTATTACTCCATTATACAAATATACTGATTTGCTTTCCATTCATTTGCTGGTGAATAGTTTGTTGTCTCTATGCTTCTGATATTAAAAATAAAATTGCATGCATCTTTGGGTACCATATATTTCTTTTTATCTATGGCATGCACACATGCACACTCACGTGAATGCACAGATGCATGTCTAAATAATCTGACAAACTTTTCCAAAGTGGTTAAACCATTTTCGTTCCCACAAGCTGTAGATGAGAGTTTTATTTGCCTCCCAGTCATTACCAATACCTGCTATGTTTCAGACTTTTTCACCTTAGAATTCTCAATCTTCACTAATGTTCATGACAGTCTCTGAAACTTCATATGGGTTTTTATTGGAACTATCTGCCGATAAGCACCACAGCAAGTGCTTAAACTTCCATTAAAAACTCGTCAATGTTTTCCATTTTCAATTGCTCCCCCACCACCCACCCATTCAAATTTGCTTTCCTTCCCACACAACTGGAGTCAAGACTAAGCTGGTGCACTGGTAATCTCTGTTTCCTCTACTCCTATCCAATGGTGGTGTTTGACTTCAGAAGGACCAGTTGATTCTGAGCATCCTTTCTGTCCTCGCTACCCCTCTTCAGGCCTTCCCCATCCCCACAGATGATGACAGACCTGCTATGTGCTTGGCAACTATTCTAGTCTCCAATGTGAGCCTGCTTGTAACTTTGTACTGGAATTAAATGAGTAAGATGGTAAGGTATGGTGACTCCATTTGGCTAGAATGGTTCTGGTAGGTGCGGCTTGGTTCTGACTCTGCTTAAAAGTGCCCAGATAAATAGCTAAAGTCTGTGATCTTGAGGCCAAGTGGCAAACAAGTTCTTAGGAATAATCCCCGACGGACAGGCATACAAAAGGCTACTGTTTGAATCTTTCCCATGCATTTGGAAGCATCTCGTGCTTCTACCAAATCTCTTTGCGTTTTAAACTGCTAAAGTGCTTTTTGTTCTCTGCACCTGAGCTGAATGGTTTTAGCCCTTCTTCATCTTATACCAGAGGATTAAAGGCACCGCCGCCTCTTACACTGCTTCCCCAGGCCTCGCTGTGTCCAGTCCCTCTGCCCTCTGCTGAGGTGTGACTTCTTGGAAGGTTTTTCCTTCCCTTTCATGCCTGCGACTTCACTGGAGCAGGCAGCTTCATTCACAATGAGGAAGCGCTCGGGAAACTACAGTTTGTAAATGTCAATCCCTGAACTTGAAAAGTTCATTCTTTGATAACATTTCCCCCATACTTTTCTCCTGCTCTCATCAACCTTTTCTACTGACAACGTATCATCATCTGAGATCATGGGGTCATTATACACCCTAAAAATCGTGGCTAGATTCTAATAGCTAACTAACTCTCGCTACTACCTCCTCTTGTTAAGAATGTTAAAGTTCAGAATTCTATTTTGATGAAGAAAAAAAACACACACAAAGATAACCAAGCATTGTGTGTGTGCCTTTAATCCCAGCACTCAGGAGGCAGAGGCAGGTGGATCTCTGTGAATTTGAAGCCAGCCCGGTATACAAAGGGAGTTCCAGGACAGCCAGAGCTGTTACAAAGAAACCCTGTTAAAAAAGGAGAAAGAGGAGGAGGGGAGAGGGGAAGAGGAGGAGGAGGAGGAGGAGGAGGAGGAGGAGGAGGAG